ACCCATCGTTGCATCTAGATGGCAGCTTGCTAGCTTTTAAGATCCCAGTCGCTACTCGCCAAAGTAGGAGGTGGAACAATGTTTTGTATAGTATGTTATACCAATTGAGCTTGATGTCCCCTGAGACTATGGTCCCAAGCCCGCAGGTTCAACTACTCGGTCCCTCTGGCTGTGACCAAGCAGTGAGCACAACCTTGCCCCTTGTCAGCTCTACTATACACCTGGGAATTCTGATCATTCACATAAACTTATGTTAACATTTGTGTTCTGTTCTCTTAGTTATTTATTTTTTTTTTTTTTGCTTTACAGGATTTAAAAAATATCTTGCTGAGCATTTTTACAAGACAAATTTTGTAGTTCCATTTCTTCTTGCATTCAAGAGAACTCATAAATAGTAGTGTATATTTAAATGCCACACAGATCCAGTATGCAGTTGTGCTAATGCATTTAATCTCCAGAAACTCTGTTAAACTTTTAGTCCTAGATAGATGAATATTAAATAGGACTCTGAGTTGATACTTCATAGCATTAAAATTGGGCACATTTTTCTCCTATGCTGAAAATACATTCTGTTCTTGTTCAGCTTTATCTCTTCAAAAATGAGTTGAGCAGGCCTCCTTGATGTATCTCTGAAAGTGAACTCAATTCCTTAGATTGCAAAGGTTTGTGGACCTGTTCCCTTGTGCAGATTCCAAAGAGCTTTGACCACAAAGGAGGCCTGGGGCACACCTTTCAAGAGCGACATGCTCATGGTGTCTAGTTGTGAGCTCTTGAGCAGACTTCCAACCTTCTTCTGAATTAACAGTACAGTAACAGGCGAATGGTACTGTGATCCTCTGGCCATACCTGCAGGGCTTTTCATCTCATCTACTGGGGTTTTCTTTGCCTCTTGTAGCTGATGGTTGCATGGGCACAGCTCTTTTGTGCAAGTTGCATGATTCAGCTTGTCCTTCTGCATATGCACATGCAATCTTCTTCAAACCACTTTCCTTTCCTTTCGGCACAATTGCACTCTTTTCACTAGCACATTCACTGATCTCATTGCTTTTGTGCTATGGAGAGATAAAGTGGTTAATGATGTTTGTAAAACTGACACACAACACGTAATTCTGTAGGCTGAAAACATTGTGTGCCCTGCTGGCACTAAAGCATCTGCCCTGGAGGACAGCAGCTTTGTTCCTCAGTCTCTTCAGTACTCAGAATCATAGGATAGAAGTCAGTCCCGAGTGGCTGTTTAGATCCAAGGGCTTTTTTGAACTGGTAGAAGTTTTCAGATAAGGTTATCCATTGATCAGGAAACCTTCCTCAAGTCTTAATTTTTGGCAAGTAATAGAAATCACTTCAGTATTTTGTAGCATTTTGAGTTAGTAACAATTGTGTTGGGTTTTCTTTTGGAGAACCTGTTTTTTTTTTTCCCCCTCTCATATTATTATGCTGGGAAGATTAAAAATTAACAATGGAGTTTATTTTTATTCTCTCTGTTCCATTTATAACTTTAAAAGCAAGTAAATATTTTACAGATTCGTTGAAATAGAGCCAGTTATATCTGTATCACAGATTAAGAAAGTGACATAGAATACATTTTCAGGGTCACATTGTCCGTGAGAACATAAATTGAAAGGACACTTAACCTTCGTTCTTAGTTAAGTGTATGCTGTCTTGTGTGTGTTCATTTTCTATGCAGACAGACGTCATGAAAAACCAATTTTATGTGAAAGATTATGTACATTTATATTTTAAAAATTGAGGTTAAAAAATGCATCTGAATTGGCTGCCTTATAACTCCTATGGGTTACTAAGTGTGAGGGTAAGACCAGGTGAGTCCCCAGTATACATATGAAATTGAGAAACATTTATGCATTATATATTATTTCTGTTATAACTGTTGTTGTTGTTGTTATGTGCTGTCGAGTCAGACCCGACTCATAGCGACCCCTTCTTGGGTTTCTGAGGCAGTATCACTACCGAAGTAGATTGCCCCATCTTCCTTCTGAGGAGTGGCTGGTGGGTTTGAATCACCAGCGTTCTGGTTAGCAGTCAAGTGCCTGAGGCACTACGCTACCAGAGCTCCCTCTGTTATAACTACACAAAGTAAAATTGTATAAAATCTTTCTGGATTAAGAAGTATGTAGTATGAAAGATTAACTTTTAAAAAAAAATTTATTGTGATTTGGTTGAAAGTTTACAGAGCAAATTCCTTTTCTATACAGTCGTTCTAACTTTTGAAAAACTTTAAAACTTGTATATTTAAGAGAAGCTGTAATGGACATTTTAATATTTGGGGCTGATAGAAAAATGTTCAGTACTGTATTCTTTTTTTTTGTGCAACTTGTATAGCTCCCACCTTCCCCCCAACAACAACTTTTATTTTTTAAGTCACTGATTCTCAGTCAAGGACAAATTTGTTCCCAACCCACTCCACCCCCAGGGTATATTTGGTGATGTCTAGAGAGATTTTGGGTTGTTATCAACTGAGGCAAGGGATAGGGAAGGTACAACTGGCATGTAGTAGGTAGAGCCCAAGGATGCTGGTAATAGCCCTACACAACGAAGAATCACCCAGTCGAAAATGTTGATAGTGCCAAGATAGATAAGCTCTGTTGTAGATGCTATGTTCTCAGTAAATGGACTGAACCAAGATTCCATACTTCAAATTACAGTTGGGTTTTTTTGGCCTTAGCTATAGATAATTGTTGTTATCAATTTTGAGAATTAACCTACCTTTCCTGAGTTAAAGCATATGTGTCATTAAATAATACATTATCTCATTATTTCATCTCCTAGTGAAGTAACTCATTACTGCATAATGTTTTATGATGAATAAGATAATCTCTAAAGCTACAAGAGGGAAGTAGGTAGATATTTTCAAGATTCCAAAGGTAATGCATTCCTCTGGTATATGTGATAATATGTATGTTAGATGAATTAATACATGTCAAGCTCTTAGAACATCTATCACAAGAAATGTCACCTACATAGAGGAGCAGTAGGGGGAGGGTAATAATGAATCCAGAATTTCGTCATGGCAGACAGTGATTAAGATTTGGTTTTACTGTAGGGGGGCATTGGCATATGAATGCTTGCCATTATCAGGTGGTACAAAAGGTAGGAGACTATTACTGGAATCTAGGAGGTAGAGGCCAAAGATGCTGTTAAACATCCTACAGTAAGCACTTTAAATGCTAAGCACTTTAAATGCTGTCATTTTTTTTTCACCAGTGACCCATAAGGTAATTATTTATATCCATGTTATAGTTGGGAAACTGAAATTCAGAGAGAATAAATGTGGCAGAGCCAGCGTTAAAGCACAGGTTCCTGGTTCTAAACCCTGTTTTTCTGCTATATCATCCTACCTTCAAAGAGTGGTTTTACAAGTGTTTTGTTCCTCTTAGCTTTTCCTTGAAGATATTCTAGGTAGATTTCATAGAAAACTCATATCCTTGATTGTCATTCTAAAGAATTATGGTGTTTTGTAGTAAGATTAAAGATGAAGACAAATGAATGACACTTTGTTAAAGTAAGAGTCCTGATTCATGGTGAAGTGAATGTGAATGGGTTAAATGCTGTGAATGCGCCCTTCCTTTGCAGAAGGTACTTAGCAGTGGGGTCTGAACTGAAGCTCTGATTTCATCCTGCCTGTCACTGTGTACATTATGCTTTTTGTGATGTAGAGTGCACTTCATATTCCGTCTTTCTTCAACAGAATTCCTCCATGTAAGGGTGTAAATGAGGAAACCCAAAAGGCTCTGGACCGCTCTCTTCTTGATTGCACTTTCCGATTACAAGGTAGAAATAACCGCACATGGGTGGCAGAGTTAGTGTTTGCAAATTGTCCACTTAATGGCACTTCTACCAGGGAGCAAGGTGAGATATTTCACACACTTTGTCTTTGGCTATTTCTGGATTTTTTTAAATATTGATTATTGTTAATCTTCTTTTTTAATCCCGTAGGACCATCCAGGCATGTTTATCTGACATACGAAAATTTGTTGTCTGAACCTGTTGGTGGTCGGAAAGTGGTTGAAATGTTTCTTAATGACTGGAATAGCATTGCAAGATTATATGAGTGTGTGTTGGAATTTGCACGTTCTCTACCAGGTACATGTGATAAACCTACTTTTCAATTTGAAAAAATAAAGGAAAAACATGAACATTGTAAAAAAAATTATTTCAAAGCTATGTCTAATGAAGAATAAGTTTTCCTTTCACCTCAAACTCCAATTTCCAATCCTGGAGACAACCACTGTTAAGTTCCTTATGTATCCAGAAATTTTTATACCATATTATAATAGTACCAAAAAAAACCAAACTCATTGCCATCGAGTTGATTATGACTCATAATGACCCCTCCTTGGGTTTCCAAGGTGGTATCTCTATGGAAATAGATTGTCCAACTTTCCTTCTGGGGAGTGGCTGGTGTGTTTGAACCACCAGCCTTCTGGTTAGCAGTCAAATACCTTAGGGACTACGCCACCAGAGCTCCCTGAGAGCTTATTATGTGCCACACGGTGTAATAGTTTGCTTGTGTTAAATCATTTAATCATCACACTCACCCTTATAAGTATTTTATTGTTTGTCCTTTTACAAATGAAGAAAATAAGTCAGAGACTAAGGAACTTACAGAAGTTCACATAGCTACTAAGTGACAACCTGGAATTGGGAGCCCTAAACCACTGTAAGGGAGCTCTGGTAGCATAGTGCCTAAGGCCCTTGACTGCTAACCAGAAGGCTGGCGGTTCAAATCCACCAGCCACTCCTTGGAAGGAAGGTTGGGCAATCTACTTCCGTAGTGATTACACCTCAGAAACCCAAGGAGGGGTTGCTATGAGTCGGATCCAACTCGACAGCACATAATAACAAAAACAACAACGACAATCACTGTGCTGTACCGCTTCAGCATATCTTGCCCCCTCCCTGGCTCCCTTGTATATAAATGATCTATTTATATTGTTGCTTAAAAAAAATTTTTTTTCAACCAAATTATATACAAGTATACGTCACTTGGGAGCTCGTAGCAGAGTGGCTAAGGCACTTGACTGCTAACCAGAAGGCTGGCGGTTCAAACCCACCTTGGAAGGAAGATGGGGCAATCTACTTCCGTAATGATACTGCCTCAGAAACCCAAGGAGGGGTCGCTGTGAGTTGGGTCTGACTCAACGGCATACAACAACAACAAACGTCATTTAACGTCTAGAATACGGTCTGTGAAATGGGACTTTAAGTGATTTGGATGTTGTATGCACACCATACTGAAACCTTATGAGAGACTGCTTCCCGTTGTCATTGCTGCTATTGCCACAGCTGCTGCTGCTGCTGTGGCTAGCAGAGGCTGGAGGAATAGGCAGCAGTGGGAGTGGCATGCTTTCAGCTCCGCCTGCTGTCCTGCCCATCTGAGCAGCAAGAGCAGCCCAGGCCTTGCAGCCCCTGCCACCACCTGCCTGTCCACTGGACAAAGCCCAAGAACCCTGTCCTCTGCCGACCTGCCTGTATCCTATCTGTAGTTCAGTGCTGCAAGAGTCTGAGTTTGGTGTCTTTAAAACCGTTAGGGGGAAATAAACAAAAAGAGAGCTACTTTCCCTTTTTTTTAAAAAAAAAAAATACCTTTTTGGGGCATGAACATAGATAGATGTGGTTGGACATTGCCTGAATAGATAGATGCAGTTGGATGTTGCCCAAATGGATATTAAGTGACACATCCTTGTATTTGGAGACCTATTTACATACGTGTATTGTTGTTAGGAGCTCTGGTAGCATAGTGCCTAAGGCAGTTGACTGCTAACCAGAAGGCTGGCGGTTCA